CAAATTCATTCATGAACATGAAATCTAATTAATTTAAATCAATGAATATAGATAAAAGAAGTATGTACATGAACCACCATATGGGTACATGAACTTAGGTTTTTATTGCTATTAATGTTTGTGTGTTTGTGTCACTACTTTGGTTATGCAATTGAAAAATTGATGCTGCTGATGTGTGTCACATATATACAATGTTATTACCATTGTATGTGTCCATGCATGCATTTACATAAATGATTTACTAAGAATTGGATATACAATGTATAATTATCACTTTATCTTTCAATTTCCGAATCTCTAATCGAGTGTCATAGAACTCCTTGGCTTCTGCAATCAATAGCCTAACAACCTTGATTTTATCCTGGACCTCCTTTTCAATATTAATTATTATTATACATACATGTAAGTGGGGTAAAATCGTTCAAAAAATTATTCTCATTTCATGTGATATTTAACATATTATAGATTATAGATAATAGGAATAGTAGTATCAATAAAGAAAAGACATTAAATATCTACTAAAGTTATTCGATAGAGCATAAAATTAATGCAAATTCACTTGGCATAAATGCAAAATGTCCCATAAAAAAATCCATGTCTGTCCAAGTTAAAAAACAAGTCCTTAATAATTATAACCAAATTTTTCAAAAATTCATTTTACATGTTATTTCATAAATTTTTCCTACTTTTGAGCGCAAAAAGGGCCAAAAAAAAAAAAAAGAAAAAAAAAGACCCAAAATCACATTGTAAATAATTATAACCAGATAAGCTAAACTTTCGCAAACGAGGTATCAGGAACGTCAGCAGTTCTTTATAGAGATACACTCCGTATATTAATTGCGCCAATATACAGAACGTCAGCAGTTCTTTATAGAGATACACTCCGTATATTAATTGCGCCAATATACAATCCCTAATAGGCGGGGATCCCCTGCGCAAACATACGGACGCTCTGATATAGATTCAGGAAGGGAGAGTAAAAGTCGTAGATGGTAAAAGTTTACTCAAATCACAATCTAAGCACAAGATTTTCAACAAGATTTTTTTTTAGTTTTGTAGTTTATCTGTTTTTCTCCTCTGAATTTTATTTGACAGGCAGATTCAACTGAAGAATTTGAACCCCTTTTTGATTACTCACGCGTTCAGCCCTCTAATGTTATTAGCCTCGACGGTCAGCTTCTCCTCCCATCTATATACATACAAGTGTGATTGCCTAGTGTTTTGGAATGATATATTTTTTGTGGATTGGCAGATGATAGCACGGATGAATCCCCAGTATTCTGCGCCAAGAAGCGGAAAACTGCAGACGCTGATGTAGAATATTTTTTCTGTGTTTACCTACGAAAAGATTTGATTTTTTTTCTTCTTCTTTGTTTTTGATGAATATTGAACTTAAAGTTCGGATGGGCCTTTTGAACTGAGAAATGTCAGGTCGAAAAGAAAAAGAAGGTTGTGAACGGGAAAGATATCGAGGTGATTGATTGCGACAGTAAAGTAGATGAAGAAGAGGATTGGCTACCCCCTGCACCAAAGAATTCAAGAAATACTGAGAAGATACTTGACGAGGACTCTACTTTAAAGGCGCTGCGGTAAAATTGAATCATAGTTTATGAACTGCTAATGATTCCTGTATTTTGTTTGGCAAATTTTGATTATAAGGGGCTATATGTTGAAATTGTTGTCCTTTTTAGGGATATCTGCTACCTGCATTTGCTAGTTTTGAGGTTTAGTCTCAATGAGCTATGTATTGGATCGTGATTATGTTACTAACTGTTTTGTTTGTTTGATAAAATTCAAGAAGTCTAAACTGGATGTCCCATTAACCTCTTATTCCAATCTGAGGGGGACAATTATAGAGATTGTTATTCTTTTGTTTTGAATAAATATAGATTATAGTAGAATTAGAAGTTTTAAGTAAGTCAGTTTCTATAGGAAAATCCATGTGGTTTTCATCTGTAGGCTTGACAGAATTGGTATAATGATGAGTTATCTTTCAACAGAATATACGAGAGTGTGCAATATTGGCCATCAGTAATATACCATGGAAAGTTAATAAAAATGAAGTATGCTGTTACCTTTGTGATTGTTATTACCTGCCTTATTGGCTGTACAGATTAGAAAAGATGGCATAGGATATATGCAATTCTTTCTATTTTTGAGTTTACAGCCTAACCAGAAAAATTTGAAGGTATTAGTGTACCTCTGTTTATTTCTAATTCTAGTTCTCAAGAAGCTACTGCCACAAAAACACTTTGTTAGATCTTACATGTTTTCATTAATCATTGTCTGGAAAATTATCGTTGAATGATTGGTAGTTTCCACATCGATAACTTATGAAAATTTTAACAACAAAGTGCAGGATTGACATTTTGAGGTGTAACTGCAACATTAGATACCTTTTTCCAAAAATCTGAGCTCACAAATCATGGAACAATCATACTCCCTATGTCCCATTTATATAGGCCGGTTTTTATTTTTCACACGGATTAAGAAATCTTATTTAATGTTATTGAAAAAATAATTTTTGCCAAAAACATTCCTAGTTTACCCTTATTTATATTTGTACAATTTCAAGAGTAAGTGGGGAAAATTGATTATAACTAGGTAAATTAAATAAGGGTATATTAGCAAATAAACAAAACAAAATATTCTTAATAAAGAAACGGAACTATATGATTGGGACAAGGAAATAAGGAAAGTCGGCCTGTATAAATGGGACGAAGGGAGTATATTGATTTTATGACTATTTCTTTTTAGCGCTCGACAACCTGGTTTACACATTCTGATGCATATTCTTGATTTACTGCTGAGCCCCCTCAACAAAATCTATGATATTAGATGCTATTAGAAGATTCTTATTGCCTCAGATTAAGAATTTGACTAATTATCAAACTTTTGTACGATTTCTGTAAAATTAACGTATATCTGGTTCATTATTTTGTAATTCTGGAGTTTTGGAAGTTCCATTGTCGAACCTTGATTACTACATAGTGCTTTCGTATAAAATGATGCACGACTATATTATATATGCTGCCATATTTAGAAAATAAGTTTCTAGTTTGCAGAATGGTAGGGACATTTAAACTCTTAAAAATTTCATACAAAAACTGAAACTGTCTTCTCTATTCGTGTAAATGATCTATGCGGCAGCTCTGTATACCATTCAATTGTCTTTTAAAATCATGTTAAATCAACATTATTGTATAATTATTGTTCTCATTATTTTAATCATGGTCATGTTATAATCATCGTCAGTCTCCTAATACCATTTTATCATCTTCATCACTGTTTTAATGCTGTAATTCTTTTGATTGCTTATTATCGCCAGGGGGATCATTATACCAAGTGACTACAATCATCCTCAAACTATCATGTTTTCATCCTCGTGATCATTGTATCAAAACATCAGCACCCTAGTCAATGGAACCAGATGTTACCAACATATTGACCACTAAGGTCCAAACATCATAAAGTCTCAGGAACTCCTCACAATCATATATTAATATATGTTGTAGGGTATGTGAAGGACCCTGGTACCAGATCCATGGATCTTTAGGACTTCATAAATACGTATTCTTGATTCCTTCAATATGGTCGATTTTTATACAATAAAGTTGAGAAAATAGTGGAGCCATTGATGTTATTCATCTTAAAACACTTTTAACTCTTGAATACTTGTGAAATTTATACCTTTTATATACTTAATTCTCCATAGTAAATGTCAATACTGGAGTATTTTGTAGCTAATGATGTAGCAAATGCCATTATGCTGTGTTCTTACTGTCAAAAACTCGGTCTTGGATAACAATTTTGGTTTATAACAAACAGATGGCCTAACATAGGTTGCAATCTATTAGTGAAACTTTAGCAAGCAAATGCTTAAGGGTTGCTTTAATTTAACATTGTAGTTTAATTTATCATGAAAAATGTTCATGATTTGAACTTAATACTCTTCTTTTCTAAATTGCATGCTATCTTCCTAGGTTAAAAAAGCTGGAGTTGGCATCATTGGCGCATTCCGCTCAGGAAGTTTTGCAAGCTGTTGAAGAGTCTGTAAGGAAAGATCTCAGTGCATCATTACAGTCTTCTCTGGAGAATGAAGCTGAGAAGCCACAGAATCCTCTTCCTGAGAGAGCAAAAGTAGTTATCTCCATTCAAAACAAGGATGAACTTAAACAATTTCGTGTTTACACGGTGAGTAGTTTCTGGTGTTCTCTAGAAGCATAATAATTTTGCACCCTGCTTTTGTCAACCAAGGTTTTAATATCATTAGGCAGATGATGTTTAAAGAAGATTTAGCTCTTCGAGATAGCACATATTTGCATAGTTATCATATTTTATAGCAAGGCTTTATTGATTCAAAGTCTAGAACACTTGTGAATGCACGGAAAATAAAATTAATTGTTGTTCCGTCTGAAACTGTAGACACTTGGAGGTCCCTTTTCTTTGTTTAAAAAAAAAAAAAAAAATCCTTTTTTTGGGTACAGCAACCTGAATTAAACTCCTAATTCTAATATTTCAAGTAAAAGTATGTTACTGTAGATTTTCAGAGATGTAAAGGTATGTTCAACCAGGGGAGGGGCCAAAAATTTTGTTATTCCACAATCCATGCAGTCATTTATTCTTAGATTCTGAAAGAATCGCACTCCACGTTTTCCAGTCATGATTGCTATATTGTCGAACTCTTTTGGATGGGTGTTAGTTCCTTTCAATTTGAATTCTAGCCCTGAATGAGTAAGCATATGTTTGGCAAGTGTTTGCAGATGGAAACGAATAGTGGATAAGTGGGTAGTACTTATGGGTCCGACGAAATATGTGGATAAATTTTTTTTTGACTTTTAGTAACACTTGTCAAACATGTGCTAAGACAATAGTGGCTTCCATTTAAAATGTTTTAGCTTATTCTTATTCTACCTTTTCTGATGAATCTTAGAACTTTGTTGTAAGCTAACTATTTGTTGCTTCACTTCAAAATTTACTTGTTAAGAAATAAGAATTACTCAAGCGCTCCTTGAGTAATTCCACAATGATATGGCTTACTCATACCTCTCTCTACATCGATCTTCATGATTCTGAATTCCCCAATCACAATTTGCTAGTTTTTGATCTCGTACTTTGGGTCATGAAATTTTGTAATTTCTGATATAGATACGGCTTATTCATGTAGGATGATAAATTTGAACGACTCTTCAAGATGTATGCTGACAAAGCTAAGCTTGATGTTAAACAATTAGTTTTCTGCTTTGATGGAGATAAAATAAGTCCAGCAGAGACTCCCAGTAGCCTTGGGATGGAGGACGATGACATCATTGAAGTGCATGTGAAGTCGAACTAATCTAGGTAAAAATGGGATTTCCTTGATGGCTATGCTAGTTATGTTTTTGCAGCATCCCTGCATTTCATTCTTCTGTTACGGTTGTATATTTCTTTAATGGGAAACCTTATAGCCACAAAATAATGCTTAATCCTTCTCTGGAATGGGTGTAAACTACCACACAATTATGAGCATATATCCTCACTGTTTTACGGAATTGAAAGATGAATTTCATTAAAGAGCCTGTGTTATCCCATTAATCAAGTAATCCAGCTAATTCAAGTCCAATGGGAACTACAATTTTCATTTCCTAGGCAATACTATTGGAGCCTCCTTCCAGAGTTTACTTCTTGATCCTTGTCAACACATTTGTCCAATTCTATACGAATAGGACCATCTCTCTTACAAGCATATTGAAGTTTGTCTATTGACATTTTTCTTGCTGAATGCATATTAATAGCAAGAGAGATGGACTGCTTGCTCCAGAAAATAAAGAACATAAAAGTTCTTAGTTTTAACCTTCCCTTTCCAAATACTTCTACGAATGCCTTTTTTAATGCAGCAGTACATTTTTTTGGAACTGCCATTTAAATAAAAATAAGTGATTACTCGTTGCTATACCTAGATGTGAAAGACATCCCGATGCCCTTCATTCTGTTAAATCCACTGCTAGAACACTTAGTAACCGATGACCAATGTTTGACCTCATTTGACATCACACAATGAAGCAGGAGATGAGGAACCTACCCCGACTCTGTTTTCAAGCAACACCAACTTAACACAAGGTTCCTGCACTGTCTTGGCATCTCTGGCAGCATTTCACTCGAAAATGCCACCTGTGGGTACCTCAGAATTATTGCCTTGTACCCGAAAAGATTACAAGGATCTTATAGCCCGCTTAATACCTTCATTGCCCTCACCCCTTTACTGCACCCTGCACTTTATACAAGCTGGCATGCAAATTCTCCACACAACTGATACTTCAATCTTTTAGCAGCTCTTGGACGAAACATTTTCGAGTCACCCCTACTACTTATTTAACCAAAATATCTATCAGCTTCCATTGCCAATCTAAAAACTAGTCACATCCAATAACTTCATAAGAAAGCTGGATCCTAAACCGAAATTTTGACCTGTGATTTTGTTTCAATATGAAACTGGTTAGAGTTTGTATTTTATATTTAAGCTTATCAGTATCATGTTCCGGACTTGTTTCAGGGTGTTGGATGACCTGTTGCATCCAAGCTGATGATTTACTTCCTTGGAGTCCAAGGCTCTTTTTTAAAAATATTGTTTTTGTTGTTGTCCTGCAACTGTAAATTGAATTATACCTTTTTTTTTTAATGCAAGCCAAAATATTATAAGATATACTATGGATGAGTTGAGATTTGTCATTCATATTTAGCTGTTTCTCAATTTACGTTTGAGTAAGCAAATAGCGAGACGTAACCCATGGTTGTAAGCGAAATAAAAAAAGCTAATTTACACAATTTTAGATTATACAATAAATATATTGTTGTTCCCATGTAAATTTTAGGATTATGCTACTTGTACATTCTGGTGTACAACTCTCTTACAGGGGGGTGTCAAAACTTCAGCATATAGCACCGGAGTGTCAATCTCGATGTACAAATAGCATTTCCCTTTTTTATACTAATATTTTCCCGTGACGCAATTATTTTTCCAGTCAGACACTATCGTAAATAATATTTTCTCCAAGAAAAATCCGTCAACGGGTATGGAATCCTTTAATGTCTAGTATTGCCAGGTTGAATCCTGACCTTAGTTCGACTTCATCCTGATTGGTCCACAGGTATGGAATCCTCTAATAATTTGTCATCCAACTCAAGCATTTGTTGAAATAGAGAACGCCCGAAATCAACTGAATGAGGCAAAAACCTTTGTTAGCTCTGGGGACATGACTGGAACTTTATTCAAGTTTCCTGGACAAGTGGTGTTCTAGACAAGGCCCAAGTAAAGAATCTGAAGCTCCAGTTTGGACCATGAAGAATGAAAGGGTGAGCAATAGTTGGGCAAACGCTAGGCCCGAATTTGGTATTTCGAGGACATGAACCCGTATAAGGAGGCCCTAGCCGTCAGGGTTAACGTTACCCACTTCTGGGTCATCCTTAACGGACACAGCGCTATCCTAATTGAGAAGCCCGTTTCCTGCATGGAGTCCAAAAAAGTTATTATCACTCTAGAAAGTAGAAACCGATTTCGAAAGCCCATAACAATCTCACTAATCTTGGGGCTCTTTTTTTTTTTTTCTGCATTTGAGTATTTGACACTTTTTTCGATAGAAGACATGGTCATTTTTCATCTTGAGATACTCCACGGTGCGACCCTTTAAAGAGGAGAGGTGTAAAATTGTTGGGACATTATGGTCAACAAGATAGTCCAACCTAGCTTAACTGCACAAAATGGCAAAGAAACAAGTATATTTATTATAAGTGATAATTAAAAATAAAATACAAACTTAGGTGGAGATGTGCAAGCTGACCTTCAACCAGTAAAAAAAAACATTGTAGAAAATTCAACTAGTCTTCAAGCTTAAAAGCTAAAATAGTAAATAAACCAATTTTTAAATCTCATACGCCATCGTTATGCTTCGCGTCTTGTCATAAAATTCATATGCTCCTCGTTGCTAGTCTTTTAGGAGTATGTCTGCGATTTTTTTATTGGACGCGGGCCCCCTCTCTTGTGAGGGGATTGTAACTTGGTGTACAAACATCAAAACCCATGTGTATAGGGCCAAATTTGATTTTTAGAATGTCAAATCCAAGTCTAGTCATATATATCCAAATCCACAAACATCAAAACTCTTGTCAGTATAGGGCCAAAGTTGGTTTTTAGAATATCAAATCCCTCATGAGTCTCATCATGTATATCCAAATGCATCTCTGAGTATGTTTGGCTCCTCATATTAACGCTACACAATTTTGATATTTTGTTTGGTTCTTAGAGTTTTAGAACATTCTGATTTGTATGTTCGTATTATTTTATAGGTTAGGTGATTTGGTGTGAATGATGCAAAACTTGGAGAAAATAATGATTTTGACATGAATCAAAGAGAAGTTGATGTTGATTAGGTGAAACTTGATGATTGGAGATTAAATAGATAAAGAAAAGAAGTGAATAGGTAAAAATTGAGTGAAACGTTATCAAAATACTTTCACATATCAATTTTCAACCATATATGTATGTTTCCTAAACTTTCGAATTGGAATAAGTTATAAGTTGTAGTTCTTTGATTTATCTTTCTAACACATTTTGAATTGCCTCAATCAGATATCGAGGAAAAAAAGTTATAATAAAAATATTGAAGGATGCATAGTGCTAATTTTTCACCTGAAAGTGTGCATCGCAACGCCACCATTGTTGAATTTTAGCAGCAACGCAGTGCCACGATTGTGCAATCGGAGCGCCGCTAGGCGAGAAAAAGATTTTTGATTTTTTTGGACTCTTTTCTTGCCAATTCGACCCCAACCTAAATTTTATGGTTTCGAGAGAGTGTAGAATACTAGAATCTATGAAACTTGTCATATCTAAGAACCACGATCTTAATAAATCTTGATTTTAATTCGGAATAAAGATATTGGAATTAATTTTTGGGACTAATTTTTAACCGGCACTTGAGATAGAGGGTATAATTGCATTATGGTTCTTCCTTATAAACATGAAAACTTGATTAGAGATAATTAGGTTTTTTAAAAATCATATCTGATAGTTGGGTGAAATCATACCATTGACTCTCCTATATTGATTAACTCGTATAACTTGCATTTATTCGTTGAATTCTTCACAATCATTTCTAGTTTAGATAAAATATTGATTTAAAAATTCATTCATCTAAATAAAATAGAGACTGCACAATTATAGTACTTCGTGTAAAATTAAACTACAATCTCTATGGATTCGACATTCTAACTCCATTTATATATTATAAAACTTGATAACGTACACTTGCTATATAATTTGCGTTGGATAAAATGCGTAACAATAATTTATCTATAACTTGAAAGTAAGTTGGTTCCTCAAGTATGAATGGGAACCAAATTATGAATAATTTATCTATACCAATAGTCGAAAATGTAGATATATCCTTCAGAGATTGCAGAAAAATATATATTAATCAATTCGATGCTTGCTGAATATATTTAACTAATTAACTTCTTCTTCATTTCTAATAATCTTTGGACATAAAAATTTGATAAATATTAACATATGGGACAACTTTTTGAAAGTCTCGAGAAGGAAATGGATTACGAGTTCATAGGTCAACCTACCCTTATGCACTAAGCTTGTGTTCAATGCTGAAATGTCAATATTCTTGCTTCTCCTGTCAAATTACTATCACTTCACTTTATCCGGAAAAAAAAAATGAATTTATAGAAATTTTTTAATGCATATAGATAATTGAATTCTCTCATGCAAGTATACTATCCTGTCAACAATTCATTACTTTTTACCTAGGGCTTGTTTGGAAGTGATTTTCCCCTCCAAAAAATTGATTTTTTTGACCCTTTTTTTCATTATTTCAGTCTTCATATTTGACTTCTTCTCTCACAGGTGGACCCCACTTTTTTTCTAACGATCAAAAAATCAGTTCTCAAAATCACTCTCAAACAAGCTCCTATTCTCTTATATCACTTGATACATGATAATATAAATTTAATTTTTTTTTCCTTCTTAAATTATATATAATGTAAGACTTAATTCAATGTAAAAAACAAGTTATTAATAATTAAATTGTGAATATAATTTTCCAAGTTGTGTATAGAATTGAATATGTATCGATGAACTCAATTAATAAGGACAGAAATAAAGTCAATTTGATTCTCTTCCAAAACACTAGCAAACAAAAATCACCTTCGGACACAGATCACCCCACAGCTTTATTATCAACTTCATCTGCCGCACAATACGTGACATTTTCTAACCTCGATTTACACTCCCTTTTTCATTTTCCTCTCAAATTCAAACCCACCAGAGAACGAGATTAAGGTGTGTTTGGCACTAGGGAAAATGAGTAAAGAAAAATTTATATACATCACAGACGTTGAGATGTGATAGCATATGTCCAAAATACCCCTGACATAATCCTCTAAATTTGTTCACGCTCAGTAGTCAGTACCAGTCCAGTGGTTTGTCGGCATGCACTTTCCACGGAACGCAGGACAAGGAGTTTATTGGAATTGGAAAATAGAATATATAATTCCACGTACACAGATCAATC